GTTACTAAGTCGTTATCACGGATTAATACATGACGTCAAAATTTTAGGGAGAAGAAAAGTTTACCAGGTCTATTTTACGTGAATTTTAACCCTTTGACGACCAAATCTACACCAAAAAAATGCCGTTTTTATCTGTTAAATTAGTATTTTGGCTGCCATGACGCTAATCGAGCCTTAGTGTTGCTGAAAAAGCTACTTTTTTTTTTTTTACCAAATACATAAATTTCCCTAAGATTAGGTACAAAAATGTACAATATTCTAATTTGGTGCATGCGCATAAGCCAAAATTTGGCCTACTTTGCGATTGCCCGTTCCGAATTCTTTTGCCCTTTTTCGTCCTTACTCTCGCTGCCTTTTGCGTTTCATGTGCTTTCTGGCTGGCCTAAAAGGTTGAGTGTTAATTATAGGCAAAGCCTGGAAATGGGACCTTGATCAATTATAGGTAGAATGGGCCATTTTACCACCATTTTTGTACCAAAACTGATAACGTTTTTCAATTTGCTACGTCAGAATGTCGTCGATATCCAAAACCGACTGATGTGGGGATAGAGCTATCCTAGCTCTATTATCTGCTTATCAAGAATATCTGGTGACATTTAAATTGATGACGTCACATGTGGTACAAAGAGCACGACCAATAAGTAGCCGTATATGGCTCTTTGGGTTTCAAAGGGTTAACATAACTTGGTGATAAATAACGCCACATTTTGGCGGCAAAAGCAGTTTTATTTTTTAACGGTCACGCCTGCTCAATTGACCATTCACAGCGCACGTTGTAACTCACCAGCAAACATGACGTCATTGATTATGTCACCTCCCATGAGAAACAAAAATATACTATCTTTTGCAGTGAAATGGCATGATTTTTCACAGCTGAAGAAATCATTGTATTCACGTTACTTGGTTTATATGAGAATTACCATGAGGAATTTTGTTCTGATCTAAACGCCGAACGCACTGCCGTTAATTTCACACTAGAGCCAAATAATAGGAGCTTTCACAAGATTGTTTCTCCGGCCGGATGGTCTTAATAGTAAAGGAGATTTTAATATCAGAGTGGTGCGTTGGCAAGTACAAGACGGCAAGTAAGCTTTCGGCACCCTTCCCGATAGGAGTGCTAAGCTGTTAAAGAAAATGTGTAGTAGATAAGTGTCAGTTTGTTTTGTCTCAGTCAAACGACTTTATCTTCGTTCAATA